ATAATCAAAAAAACCTGAATTAAAAGCAATCTTGAGATTGCATTTTATAACCACTAATGTAAGAGGGAAAAGCTTAAATGACACTTCATTTTGACGAGATTGCAGTGAAACCAATATACTCACAAATTCTGATGGCATCGTAAATTAGTTTTAAAAACCTCTTTCTGGGTAGCAAATGGCAGCATGAAAAAAATGAGAAAGGTCTTTGGGCCCATGGACTACTTACCTTCAGAGGTATTTCAACTGAAGCAAAAATATTGTAATTCAACTATACTTCCATTTTAAAAAGTACAAAAAAATAAACTGAAGCAAAAAGAAATACACTTGACAACAATCTCTGCAACAAATTCTAAACAGCAAAAAAAAAAAAAAAGGAAACAACCTAAATTTCCAACTTCAGGGTAATGGTTTAATAATTCATGGTACACCAGCACCACAGAACATTATGCAGTCATTAAGCTGACAACTATGAAGACTGTGAGGAAATGTGGAAATAAAAAAATGCTCCCTTGAGGGGGCCCTGCCCCAGGCTCAGCACAGCCCCACCTCTCTGCAGCAATCTGCCTGCCAGGCCAATCTGAGAAGGAAGCAGTAATTTGACCTGATTTCCCAGCTTCCCCTGAGAGACCACCGGATGTAGCTCCTGTCAGGTCTCACATCCCTGTTACGTCCATCACCATGGGGAGTCCAGACTCCGCCACCTGGGCTCCTACCTGCAGAGCTCTGAAAGCCCCCTCATCTCTCTAAGCCTTCTTCCCCCACCCCAAAGCCCTGCAGTCTGCCCTCTGGAACCCATGAGGTGCAATGGGCAACCCCCCTGTATCTCCAACTTCATCCCTGAGTCTTACCTTGTCATTCTAACTCAGTCGTTAGAAAGTGTTTTATAAATTTGATGTTAGTCATCAAAATGATAGGGCACTGCTTCTGCCAGGGCGGTAGGATTTGCTACAATGAGCATAACAGTCCCTCACAATGAAGAACTGCTCTGTACCCCGCCAGTCGTGTAACTTGAGAAACTGTTTATAAGCATCTGAAGCTAGAATTGAACTCTATTCTGCATATAAACCCAAAGTGTTTTTCATACAGTTTTAAAATACATTGAATTTCCGGGAAAGGGTGCAGCTCATTGGTAGAGTGCATGCTTAACATGCACGAGGTCCTGGGTTCAATCTCCCATACCTCCATTAAGTAAATAAATAAAAAACCTAATTATCTCCCTCCTCAAAAAAATAAAATAAAATAAATGGGAGAAGGCATAGCTCAGTGGCAGTGGTGGGTGCTTAGCATGCTTGAGGTCCTGGGTTCATTCCCCAGTACTTCCATAAAGATAAATAAACCTAATTAACTCCCCCTTCCAAAAAAAAAAAACCTACAAAAATTAAAAAATAAATAAAGACAAAGCTAAAAAGCATTGATTTTAAAAGTTTTTTTAAAAAATACATTGAATTTTGCAGAAATAAAACTTCCATGTTAAATTGGGGGAACAGCATGCTTTGTTTTGTGCACTTTCAAAGAACTGCACAGCATTTTGTGAAATCACATCTGGAAAGGCAACCCACCTCATTCTCCCTTTCTAAAACAAACTCTGTCACTTATTCTGCCTTCCTCAACTCACCAACACCATCCTCTTCTCCTCACCCTCTGATGATGATCTGAATGTTTAGTTCATTGATCAAATAGACCAGATTTGATGACAACCACTTCATTGTTCCCCTATTAAATCTAACAACCCATATGTATCTGTAGGCAGTACACATATTACATCTTTATTAATATAAAATGGATGAACTGTTCATATACTCAGACCAACCCTCCACTTGTGCAGTCCCATCACTTCTCACCTGCTTAGAGCTTTTCCCCCCAAATGATCCCCCTCTTATGGATCATTGTTTCCTCTTCTCATTCCCAGCAGTCTGTACACTTGCTCTTAACCATGTCACACCCTTGGCTGCATCCTTTTTCCAGCTGCTACTCTCTTTCTCTGCTCCTGTTCACAGCAAAACTTAAAAATTGTCCCCACAAGATGCCTCCATTTCATCACCTCTTATTCTCTCTATAATCCATCTTGTCAAGATTTCATCCTCACCACAGAAACAAATCTTAGCCAGCTTACCAACGACTTCCATTTGGCTAAACCCAATGGACGATTCTCTGCCTTCAATCTTACTCTACCTCTCAGGAGCATTTTACCCAATCCGTCACGTCTTTCCTTCTTGAAGCATATTCTCACTGTTTCTAGGATACTACACTACCCTATTTCTTCTCCTGTCTTACTGGCCACACACTCTTAGGTCCCTTTACTTGTTGCTTCTCTTCTACTCAACCTCGAAGTGTTGAAGTCTCCTGAGCTTAGTTCTAGTCCCCTTCTCTTCTATCCACCCTGAGATCTATGGCTTTAAATGTCACCTATAAGTTGATCACTCTCCGTTTTATATCTGTAGTGCCAACTCTTCTCCCAGGTTCAGATGTATATCTCTGACTACTTATTTGACATCTCTGGGGCTGCCTAATAGGCATTTCAAATGTAGCATGACCAGCAGGAAATGCCTGATGCTTGCACCCCAAGCCCTGCACAGTCCATTCTTCCAAGACTCTTCCCAATCAGCTTTAATGGCACCATCATCCACCCAGGTGCTCAGATCAAAAACCTAAGAGTCATCTGGAACTGATCCCCTTCTTTCATCCTCACATCCAATCCAACAGCAATCCTTCTGACTCAACCTATCAGACTTGCTTTTCACTAAGGGAAATACAAACATGAAGCATCTATTTGTTGTCAAAGTTACTCCTGTGAATGTGAACCACTGACCGAGGCTCAGACCACAAGTGAATCCAGCTAAACGGAACTCACTAAGTCGTGATCACTTCTAGACACCCACAAAGTTGTTCATTACCCAGCTGTTTCAGTTATCTGTTGCTGTCTAACAAACCACCCCAGAACTTCGTGGCTTAATATACAACACTTGTTTGTGGGCTCACTGCTTGGCAGACTGGACAGCTCATGGGGGGCATCTCTGACCCAAAAGGCAACCACTGGGAAGCCAGCTGAGGCTGGAGGGTCTGCCTCCACCACGATCTCACTCACAGCATTGGCAAGTTGACACTGACCATTCTGCTGAGATTATTAGCTGGTGACCTTGAATCTCCTCTAAGTGGGCTTCTCCCCAAAGCTTCTTGGAGTTCCTCACAGCAGAGTGAGTTCCAAGAAGAAGGAAAGAAAAGTTGCCAGTCCTCTTAAAAAGTAGGCCTGAAGTTGGCACAGGGTCACTTCCATTGTACTCTGTTGGTCTGTCCCAGGGCCAGCCAAAATTCTAGGGGGCAGATAAATAGACTCTACCACCTAGCGAGGGGCAGTGACCAAGAATTTGTGGCCATCTTTAATCCACTACACCAGCCCTTTGAACGGTATAACTGATCTGAAGTTGATTTGGTTCTTTAGAAACAGTGCTGTGCTGGTAAATGTTTATGTTTAACAGCTGACTGGAGGGCAGGGGGCAGTAGGTATTGATTTATAGTACTTGCCAATTGCCACAGTGTAAAGCACCCCCCCCCAACCGTGACTGATTTCAGGCTACCAATGGTGACATCACTAAACACAGAGTTGGGAAGAAAGGCACTAATTGGCTCTTACAAGCCAGTACTAGCCGGCTCCAGAAACAACACTTACCAATGGAAAAAGAAAATTCGGCATGGTTGTCCAGGCAATGAACACTTGAGGGCCTACTGTGTATGAGGCATTAGGAAGAGGAGTGACCAAAACAGATCAAAAACCTGTCCTCACTGGGCTTACATTCTAAGGGAGTAGTCAGATAATAATTAACAAAGTATATATATAATGATAGGTGTTATTAAGAAAAAATAAAACAGGTCAAAGAGAAGAGAGTGATGGACGGTCCTCTTTTAACATGGGGTCATCCAAGAAGACCTTTCTGAGGAGGAGACATTGAAGGAGGTTGAAAACCAATAACAGTTAGTAGAAGCTGACTCTTGCATAGCACTTGCTATGTGCCAGGCACTCTTTTGATCAGATTACACATATTACTTTATGCGTTAAATTCCTTAAGAAAATGTCTTAAGTAAGGACAAATTTAATTCTGTAAAAAATAATGTTAGAGCCCTTCAAACTTTTGTCTAGAGCAGAAAAAAATGTGACAAGGGAAGAACATTTGAAACAGGGAATCCAAAAAGACAAAAGCAGGCAACTTGGGAAGAACATGGTTTGCATTTGACTCTCACCCAATCCCATTAGCTGTGGTACCCACTCCGGCAGGGGAACCAGTAGTGAGAGGACAACCTCAGGAGTGCATGGGGAAGTGGAGACAAGATTTACAATCACGTGATGAGGCCGTTTAGGAGAGAATTTACAAACTGTCTTCCACTGGGATGTCCTGGCCTTCCCAACAAGGGCTATATCCAAGAGAAATGCCAGAAATGTGTGGTGTGTTTCATGAGTCAGACATCTTCACATTAATCCTCACGACGAGTCCATGAAGTAGCTAGGGCAAGAAATAACCCCCTTTCACAGATCAGGAATCTAAGACTCACTAAACCAGAGAGTCAGGACAGATTTTCTGGCTCCAAATCAAATTAATCCAATCAATATGTATTCAGTGCCTGAAATGGCTCAGACATTGTGCCGGTGCTGGGGGTGAATCCTTTCCTCCCTGCTTCCCCTCCCCCACCCATCCACCACCTTGGGAACATGGGGGTTGTGATGCCACACGCTCACTGGTCCTCACACGTGTACCAGGAGAGCACACTCCCTTATTTTAGGCAGAGGCGGTAAGCAGGGAGAGGAGACACCCTCTCCAGGCTTAGCCGTGGATGCAGAATCTCACACATTCCTGCCTTAGCCCCCTCTTTCAGCAAGAAAGAACAGAAAAAAATCCATCCCTGACTTTTTTACTTCCCCATCTGTAAAGCAATCTCAAAGCTAATTTCCCTTATAACTAAAAATCTTTCTATAATACCCTATACCAAAATACCGATTTTGTACTCACCATTGTATAAATCCTCAGAGATCTCCTCTCCCTAAGTCCATGCTTTTGTTGTTCACAATTAAATGAGTAAGAGCTGGAGCAGGCGAGAGGAACCGTGCTCCCTGGCAGAGCCCTGGGGCTGATGAAAGTGTTGACTCAGTGGGTCAGAGGAACACGGCCCCAGAGACATCATCTAAAAGCACAGAGAAATCGGAGTTGAACCTGGTGTCAGAAGACACAGTGAGCCTTTTCAATGGTTAAGGGAAGACTGTGATCAGCAGAGTGAAGGTGGAAGATCAAAGGCACCATGGAGACAAAGACAACCCAAGTCAGCCGTGAATTATAACTTGTTTTCTTCCTTAAGGAGCAGAACATGCTAAGGCTAAAGCCAGAATGAGTATATTCAGGCTACATCAAATAGCGCGGGAAACATGTCTATGGATATGGGAGTCAGGGAGGAGCATAGTCAAAAACTAGTTCATAGGGTCCATAAACATTCATTAACTGTCTCTGGAACTATGAGGAAAATGATTGGAATTACAGTCTCTACTTCACTGCCAAAGGAACTAATGTTTGAGAAGTAAATTGCTGAAACACTGTTAAGTAGAAGAACAGAAGCAAAAAAGAAAAAAAATCCCAAATATTTTATTCCCCTGGTTGTCCATCAAAGAACATTTCTTTTATCATAAAATGATGATTATCTAGTTACTTTCAGCCTGAAGAAAGATGTGAAAAATGGCAAAATCCCTGATTTATACGCTCTCTTGGGAAAAGAGTAGGGGAGATAAGAGATTTTCCTATCAATAGAATACCAAGATTGACTTTCAGCTGGGAACCCAGCCATTTATTCCTTCTTCCCTATTGTTAAGAAATACTATATAGGGACACACTAAGCCCTGAAGAAACTGGTTAGAGGGGAAAGAGAAAGCAAAGCCCCAGTGCAGAAAGGCAGACAAGTAGGATCAGTTTGCTGGGTTTCTATCCAGATCCACCTAATTACGCATGAGGCTCGGCTGGCAGTTCAATATCAGCTAGGCTGTCCCCAGGCGTCCAGGCTAAGCCTGCAACCTCCAGTCTGCACCGAGTGGGTACCAGAGCACCAAATAAACCTTCTATATGCAACCTGGGTTTTCTGTTCTTGTGCCCAAAGGAGATCCCTCCAAAAATTGAATTGTACTCTTCTTTTTGGAATTGCTCCTGCAGAAGCATGTCCAAGACCCAGTTACTCTTTGTTAGGCCTGCTTACACGCAGCTTAACACAGTCCTTGCTCCCTGCCCTTGGCCTTATCCGCTTCCTTTTCCTACTGACCCCACCCAGAAAGGGCTGTATTTCATTGTCTGTAACTAACTCAGTCATGCTTTCTGCATCAAGGATATTTTAGAAAAAAATAAAATACAAGCTTACAATACTTGGTGGGTTACAATACTGAAAAGAAATCTTGTGGACCTCAGTCTTGCTCTCCTCTCCAAGCAAGTAAAGCTGAGAGGGACTTTCTTTATTATGGGGTACATTCTAAAGGGATGCATTTCCCCACCCCGCCCCAACTGCTGGTTTCTCTTCCCTACTTCTGTTTCACACCCAGCCCCACCCTGGAGCAGCAGAGTGAAAAGGGAGCTTGCTGTCCATGCCCTCCTCCCCTGTGACCTACCTTCAAGGGCAGAGAGTGACAGGTCACTACAGACTGGGAGTCCAGGCAAGAGCAGATTCCCAGGCTCTGGATGGTGTCCATGGCCAGTCCCTCCTCTTCCTCTGTGTCAGTCACAGTCCCTTCTCCTCCGCCAAGCCAGCTGCCTGCACCTGGACATCTCTGTCACTCTGCTCCCTCACTCTGCCTGGCCAGAAGCCAGGTTGGCATAGTCCCTGCTGGGGTCTATGCACTGCTGTGGGCAGCCAGCTGGAACTGGGTTGGGGTGGGGAGAACTCTGGCCCCACCAATGCCCAAAGCAGCTGACCGTGCTCTGGCTTCACCTACCTTTTTACCCAGTATACACAAATCTTCAGGCTTCCGGGGAGCTTTCGAGTGTGTGCTCTAACCAAATGAACAGGCCTACTGCAAAGTATTTCTATTAATGCACAATGTAGTTTGGGTGTATGTGGGGGCACATATCTGTAAACCAAAGTTGATATTGTCATCCTATCTGGAACTATTTTCAACGGCTTGTAGTAAACTATAATGAAAAAGAATTTGAAAAAGAATATATATATATAACTGAACCACTATGCTGTACACCAGAAACTAATACAACATTGTAAATCACCTGTACTTCAATTTTTAAAAATGGGGAAAGAAAAAAACAAGGCAATGGCCAAAAACAAACAAAAAAATGCAATTATAAATATTCAACAAAAATAGTAGATGTTTTTCAAAACTTTCAATTTGTGTAACATTCTGAGACTTTCCAAAGTTCATTTAATCTCTCCTGAGTCTTCACATGAGCACACTTCCAGGTAGCAGAACC